GCACAAATGGAAACGATACAGGTTTGCCCAGTGATAAACACTCGCACTTCACAGACGCGCACACCCCCGACCGAACGCGGCACGGCACAGCGTAACTGGCGCCGGGAAGCCGGGAACGCATTAAGTGAAGGATTCACAGGTGCGCAACTTTATTGCGAACAATAAAAACCTACCGCAAACGATTAAAAAAAAGTTTTAGGGCAATCGAAAATACAAATGAATAGAAATGAATAGAAATAAAATTGTCATTCACCTTCCAAATAACCCAACAATTTATTTGCCGTAAAAAGTGTCTGGAAATGGAAAGTTGCAAACATGATTCAGCAAGTAGGGAAACGCAGCAGCCACCTGGCGAATAATCTCAGGCTGGTTTAGTGACGAGTGCATTGCTACGGCTTGTCACCCTTCACAGATTACTATGACAAAACTACCCCTAGTATTTTGATCATCCTGAGGCTGGCTTTCACCTAATAATTTGATGAGGGTCTTCCTCGTTTCGGATTGAGGCGAAAACAAACGTCAAACAACCTTGATAGTTAATTCAGCACTTCAAAACAAAGGTACACCTAGGGTATCATTACAATACCGGATCATAACGATCTGGATAGTTCTCAGCCTGTAAGCTAACTAAGCGGTAACTAGTCAAGTGGTAGGTACCGGAAGCATTGACAACCTGGTGACTGTTTCGAGACCCTTGTTTTGACACATAGCTTGTCAATATTTTTTACAGTGTAACGATGACGTGGACACATTCGGTCTGACCCGCCAGGACATAGAAGTACTTTTGAGACACTGCCTAAACAACAACTATGTTAGGTTCGGTGATAAATACTTCAAACAGACCATGGGTGTAGCCATGGGTTCAAGAATTGCCCCTCCGTTAGCAATCATATTCATGAACGCCGTAGAGTCTCTGCTTTTAACGTCCCCCAACTCTCAGTACCAGCCCGTCGCATACATGCGATACATCGATGACGTGCTAGGAGTATGGACTCACGGTGCAGACAAACTCGATGAATATTTCCGCTTCTTAAATGACTTTCACCCAGCGCTCAAATTCTCCATCGAGAGGACTGACAAAACAGCTGGTGGATATATACCCTTTCTCGACACCACCATAAGTGTGCGTTACGATGGCACGTACAACACAGAGCTGTATATCAAGCCGATGGCGGCACCGATCATAGTGCACTTCAGCTCAGCTCATCCCATGCAGTGTAAACGATCCGTCCTGTATTCACAGCTTCTACGTGCTAAACGTCTGGGATCTGACAAGGCGGCACAAAAGCGGGGTATGGCTAAGATCGAAATGCTGTTCCGTCATAACGGGTACCCCAACAAACTCATCCAGAGAACTAAGCATCGAGTTCTATTTAGTAGTGAGCAAAACGGCAGAAACAGAACAAAAAACAGAACAAAAAACGAACCTACATATATCACACTCCCATACATCGACGAAACCCTAGCACGACGGGTGGATGGAGTCTTGAGGGGCTCGGGTTTGAATGCGCGGGTCGCTTGGACCAGTGGAAAAACACTAGCGCAACACCTCACCAGGTCAGCCATGCAAAGTCCTCCCTGCCCGGCAGATGCAAGGAAATGTCATACTTGTGAGGCGGGGCTGCCTGGTCGCTGCCACACCAAAAACGTTGTGTACAAAATCGCGTGTAACATGTGCCAAGACAAAACTAGTATTTACATAGGAGAAACTAAAAGACGCATCCGGGAGCGGTTTCACGAGCATTTGAGGGACGCAAAAAACCAAACCAAGGACACTCCACTCGGAGATCATGTAGCTAGGACACACCCAACCAGCATAGTAGGGCCCGAGTCGTTTAGCGTGTCGATCGAAAAAGTTTGCAAAGATGTACCAAACCTCAAAATAGCCGAGTCAATCGAAATCAGAAACCAGCGACCCCACCTCAACACACAAACCTCATCATGGCCTCTCCTCAATCCCCCGCCATACACACCCCCAGTGGCTCCGGTAGCCCCAGCGTAACATACAATATTGTAGAATACCAATTGTGTAACATTGCAATACGTCATGAGTATGTATGAATAACAATAGACAACTATATATTATGTGTATTATGTATATTGTATATGCATATTATGTATCTATGTATTATGTATATTGTATATTGTATGAGCATATGTATGTATCCATCTATTATGTAAAGTATGTATATTGTATGCGCATATGTATGTATCCACCTATTATGTAAAGTATGTATATTGTATGCGTACATGTATTTTTGGCATGATGTGCATCATGTATATTTTAAAGCATTATCATGTATAATTTGCAAATGTTGACACGCACCTGGATGATTGTATTTACGTACTGATCGACCTTATCGAACGAGAACCATACCAAAAGATGCACGTTTTGTATTCCGTTTGAATCAGCTTTGTTTCGCTGCTTAATTGCTATTCTTATTCTGATGACGGTGCAATATCGAAATATATCAATTTAGTTTTAATTATATCAATTTGCAACATATAACATGAGCATAAGGTTATTCACTCTATTTACATTGATCCGGATTAACCGTAACAAATGAGTCGAGAAGCGCCAGTCAGCCGCGCAGGACCCTGCTAGTTAAGTCTTCAGGAGCACACCGGGCGCTGGCAGTCTGCTGTGGTGTAACGACACATCGCCTGGCTAAACGATATAAGCCGCAGCAACAGCAGCAACTGTACCTATGGTTTCCGTGTCACCTACAGCCCGGCGAGGATTAATGGTGGTGCAATGGTGGGTAATGGCAATTAATGGTGCAATAAACAACGCCATTTACTGGAATGACATAAGCTATATCGCAAAGGCAGCTTGCACACTGCGCAGTTATGGTGAACCAAGAAATGGTGCAACAAATGCGTCGGAAACATTACACGAAATTTCGATGCATATGTTTTTTTTAACCCGCGCCCGGCTGGGGGTCCTGGATTTCCACGCCCTGCTGGGGGGGGGGTGTTCAAACACCCCCCCTTGTAACTCGGCTCCTGGGCCACGTAGCGATACGCGGAAGGCGGCGTTCGAAAGAGCGTAAAAAATAATGACGAAATCACTTCGGTCAATTTTTTGGTCAGGTCAAAGGTCAGGTCACCAGAGGTCATTGAAGGCAAAATTTCGCCGATTTCCAGGTCGAATGTCGAAAATTTCCAAGAAGCCAACGCATAACTCGGGAACCAATAGAGCTACAGCGCCGCGGAAAAGTGCATTCGATAGCCCTATTAACGCCCTTTCTGAGTAATTCTCTCAGATTTGACCTAACGTCAACGGTTTTGCCTGCAGGGGGCAAAAACTGCAAAAATAACCGATTTTTTGGAAACAGTTTTTCTGCAATAACTTTTGACCCAAGCCTTGTACGAGCTTACTTTTACCGGCATCGTGTTCCTCTCGTCAAGACGCATCGATTGAACTATAACTTGACCTTGAAAGGTCAACTTGAAAATTTGACCTCAGGTCAAGGTCATGACCTGACCGGAAAGGGTCATGTTGCATATCAGTCGATCCGTATCGTCGAGCTGAACACATATAAGGCGTTTTCATCGCTCTAGCATGCCTCTATCAAAAGTTATTTGCGAAAAACTGTTAGATACCATTCGTGACCTAAGATGACCTCAGGGCACAAACAAGGGTCACGGACACCATTTTCATGTTCAGTGTGTCTAAACCACTTGTAATGCGGTGTTTGGGAGTGTTTATAATGTCTTTCGTCCAAAAGAGGCGCATTTCAATTTTCTCCCATTGACTTATAATGGGGAGGTCGCAAAATTGACCTGACCTTAGGTCATCGATATCAAAATTCTGAGATATACATTTTGTACATGCCATTGCTCTTAGCAATCGCTAAAAGTTTCAAAGCGATCGGTCACTCGGTGTAGCTATGACAGACATTGAAACTTTTTATGAGGTGAGGTCACTTCAAGTGACCTGGTGACCTGACCTTGAATGACCTTGGTCTGCGATTTTCACAACATGTGTAGAATTGATGTATGATAAGGTGTACCAAAAACGGCGGCGCTCCGCGCCGCCGTTTTTGAGATATTCGCGAAAAACCACAAGGGGGGGTGTTCAAACACCCCCCCCAGCAGGGCGCGGGTTAATGGGTTTATGAATTTATAAACAAAGGCCGTTTGTGTGGCTTCGAATCATCTCAATTTCATTTGTTATGCTGTGCCTACCGTTTTTACTATTACGTTATGGTAGCGTTTCACATTAAGTAAGTTTTTTTTTTTTGAAAAATTACCAGAATATAGGTAAGCTTCGTCACGACGGTCAGATTAACTTTTCCTCGTGCCACGTTTTAGATCGTGCTGATTATTTTGTTTATTTTTTTTTTTGTTTCGGCGTAGTGCATCATGTACGCATACTTTTTGTATAGAAGTGCCTAAGTTTCCCAGTCAAGCCGACAACCTTAACAGTGCTAAAAGGCATTAATTGCGTCAGCTTGTCGGCAGTTTACTGCTGTCCTTACTAATCAGTACTGAACCTGTATGCAAATTGTACATTGATTGATTTTTTATGCGGATGGTATTTATATTAATTAGTTATTACAGCAGATGAAAACCAGTTAATTGATTTGATAGATAGCAAGGAGTGAAGACACAGTAACAGACATGAGTGAATACGCATAAAAAAGTTAATGAGCTTGAAAACATGGAATGATTTAGCCAGTGGCTGTGTAATACAAGTTTCTTCTGCTGATAGTAGTTTTGCTATTATGGAGCACTTCAATGAAACTTATCAGCTAATTTTTCATTCACAACCTTAAGTTGACCGTACTTAATCTAACGTAATTGTGATCACTGAAAAGTGGTTTATGGTTTAATGGTAATTCCTTGAATCCCTGAAAAAAAATTATGCCTAAACAAGTATTAACGTTTGTTGACTCAGAAAGGACGTACCTCAAACAACAATTAGGTACGTCAATAGTCACATAGTCACAAAAGCAAGTAGGTATAAGGAATGCCGATCAAAATAAAATCATATATGCAAACAAAACGTTTATTTTAAAATTATCTGTGATGCTTGCTCTGACATGACACTTATGTATTACCGAACTGCTGTTGTATTTACCGGACACCGGTAACGATGAAATAATCGCTGAATTTGAACCACTGCATTAACGAATATTTTTTTACGAAGACCTCCACGTTGGTTGAAAAAATGCACTAGGGCCGAAAATGTTTTTCAAATACCTACAACACAGAGCAGCAGCGGGCATTGAGCAGTACCAAAATCACCTGCTTAGGCTAAAAAACATACATCGGCATAAGGTAAACGAGAAATGGGCATTTAGCTCTTCCAGCGTTGTTGTCAAATATTTTATCGATAACATTTCAAAATGACAGCATCAGATAATGAAGTTTGAGAGCAATGAATTGCATTCATCTTCCAATGCCTGACATTTTTAGTTTCTTAACGCGATGAGGCGATATTATTCTATTTAACCGACACACTTATCTGTGGTATCCCATAATCCACCATTCACTTATATCGCACGCGGCGCGCGACTTCTCATTGGTGAACAAGCAAACAAGCACAATTCACAGCGGGGGCCAGCCGTCCGCCGCCGCCGTCCCAAAGCGCTCCGGGACGCGGGCACCCGTCCAAAGAGCTCCTGTTCCAATGAAAGCTTCCAGCGGAGACGGGCGACCGCCTATGGAGCCTTCGACACTATGGCAGGCCAGCGAGGAGGGCCTCCAACGCTCGAGTGAGGCCTGGAAACCACTGCGGCTCCTGCGGGCTTTCTGTCAAACTTGACAGCCTGACACATGGGCGCAGGTCAGGTTTCACTCCTGTTTGACTGCTGGCGCTACTCCACAGTTCACTTCACTCCGGTCTGTAAAATAAAACAATGACAAAAAAAAAAAAAACAAGGAAACAACTATTCTAGCCGCAACACTCGCCGCCATTTTGCCGGTCGAGCGCTTCGTGCACCGGTCCGCCGCGGTGCACCGGTTTGTCGCATCACTTCAGTTGCTCGGCGCTGTGACGGCCGCCGTGGTGCACTGTGCTGTCGTGCAGCCAGCTGTTTCGTCAGAGTCACAAGGTGACGGACGGACGCTCTGAAACAACCGGCGGCGCTTCACGTATTTGCCGCTGAACTGTACAAAACACTGCCATTCCTGCTTATAAAACTTACACTACATTTTTTATAAACGAGTCTCAGATAAAAATGCACTGAGTTCCCAAGGTGTTCTGAGGTTCCAATATGCTCTGTTTGTCTGCTGTTCCTTCGTCAATTTTAATGTTACGTTAAAAATAGAACTTGTTCGTATGTAGTTACCTATGTAGTTGTTAAATAACAAGAGGGTACACTTTGATATAGGGCTAACGAATTACCTATAAGAACACCTGAAGTTTTTATTACGAGCGAGCGAGCGCAGCGAGCGAAGCGAAGTCATTTCAATATAACGGAAAAATCTCAGTATGAGCGGCCCGGCCCGGCCCGGCCCGGCCCGGCCTGTAACGCTTTTGAGAGGCTTATATCTCAGCAACCGCTGGACCGATTGGCCTGCGGTCTTTTTTGCTGGGTAGCCCCATCCCTTCTACCCCGTAATTGACTACTTTTGATACATCTCAGTGACCGTCGTGGCACGTGCCACGTGAAAAGTCAAGGGTGTTCAAGCAGTTTTGCAAAAGTAGTGATTTTGAGAGGCCCATATCTCAGCCGCGGCTTAAACGATTGACTTGCGGTAAATTTTATAGGGTAGCTGCATCCCTTCTACCAAAGGTCGGATACTCTTGATCTATGTGAGTGACCCCCAGTGCACGTGCAAAATACAACAATAAGAGGTGCCAAATTTGTTCCCATTTTAGTAACTCGGTAATTACTGGGGCGATTTTGCTGAAACGTGGCATACAGGTAGGCAACCACCAGGCAATGCATTCCCATGTGTTGCGGTTAGGGTGCTACTGCACGTGCGCACGTGCAGGGGGCGTTTCCAGATCTCGAGAACGGCTGGGCCGATTGCGCTCAAATTTGGTACACGGTTGGGGACCGGTTAGTAGGGTGCCGTGCAAAAGTCAGTTTGGACCCCGTTTGCACGTGCGCACGTGCAAAATGCCGCTTCCAGATCTCAGGAACGGCTGGGCCGATTGCGTTCAAATTTGGCACACCGCTAGCGATCGGTTAGAAGGGTGCTTTGCACAAGCCCGTTGGGAGTACCCTCTCGCCCTTCCGCACGTGCAGGGCTCACTATCTCGCTCGCTCGTTCTTCGCCCAAAAGGCGTTTTACTGGTTTATACAGTCTTGAAACGATCCCTCGCCCCGTTTGGGGGGGCCATTTTGCCCCCCCCCCTGTGGTTTTTCCTGAATAGCAAGAAAACGGCGGCGCGCAGCGCCGCCAAATTCTCAGTACCTTCCCGGGCATCAATTTGACATCTTCACAACAAATTTTAAGTCTAAGGTCACCTTAGGTCAGGAGTTATTGAGGTCAAACTGAGGTCATGTTCGAGCAAAAATGAGCAAAAAAACATGCAATCTTGAAACGCTTACCAAATCTACAGTTATCAAGCAATTTCAAAGTTCTTTATATGGTCTAGTAGACAAACAGCGGCGCTACAAAACTGCTATCTCGGATTTTCAAAATTTTGGGTTTTCGACCCTAAAAATTCAAAAAATTGATTTTTTTAGAAAACTAAAACAAAATCCCAAATTTTTCCGAATTTCGAAAAAACGGAATATATGTGATAGTCCCTGCGCTCTTCTATATACATACCAAATTTCAGATCAATATCTCGTTTTTTGGCCAAGTTATAGCGAAAAAACTGTTCAAAAATGATGACGTCAAATTTTTGAACTCATGTTTTAGCGATTCTAGACCACGTAGGCAAAACAAAGACCACCATTGAACTCCCCGTGACGAGCTGCATCGATTCGATACCCATTTTATGCAAAATATTAACTTTGAAATTTGACCTAATTTGACCTGACCTTGACCTGACCTTGACCTGACCTAGACCAAAACGTGACCTAAGCTGGCCCCAAAGGCTGCCTGACCCACATAATCGCATTTGTCATGTAAAATGGACCATAAAACATGTATCACACTACACTTTCATATTGTGACCCCCCCGTGACCTGACCTCTGTGACCTGACCTGGTATCAGTGACCTCAAATAGCAAAATATGTGTTTGAACTTTGAAGAACATTTCTCCATCGATAATTTTCATTGAAATGCATTTTACTCGATTTTACAACGCATTCCTTGAAATGCCTGTAAACGGTAAAAATTGGACCTTTGACCTGACCTGTGACGTCATCGGTTTGACCTAGGTCAATAAAATTGGGTCACAAGGTAGTTCCCTGATAGGGCTATCCAACACCGTTTGCCGCTTGTCGCTAGGTTGCGTGGTTCTCGAGATCTTAGGGGGGGGGGGCAAAATGCCCCCCCCCAACGGGGCGCGTTGCTCGGCAGAGCCCAACGGGGCGCGGGTTAACCCTCGCTCGTATTGGTGTTTTGCCAGCCGCGAGCGTATAAGGGGGAGGGGGTCCGTTGGACCCCCTTCCCCCATTGCCGTTTCGCCCCCGATCAAACTAGAGCTTCGCGGAAAAAACGAGCGTGTTGCCCGTGACGAGACGAAGCCGATGATAAGGTTCTAGGTCATTGGTTGACCTTCCAGACCAGGTCAATGACCCAAAGGTCGGGAAAATCGGGACCTGTTAGAACGTCGTAAAGCGTGGCTACTATGGTTTTCGGGGTGTCGATCAAGAATATCATGTTAGTCTTGATCACAGATGATGTCTTTAAGCATTTAGACCAGGTCGGGTCAGGTCAGGTCAGGTCAACCAGTAGGGGTCCTGCCGCCGGGTATTTGTAGTAGGTGTCAACTGCCTCTTGACAGCTTCGTAACATGTTACGAAGGCACCAAAACTACTTCGTAAATGTTCAAATGGTTGCTAAATTCGAATTCAGCTCCAAAAACTAGCCTGGAAACATGTAAAACCCGAAAAAGTGAACCGAGGACATCAAAGGTCAGTGACATGACCTGACCTTCAGGTGACCTTGACACCCACCCTTATGCATGGAACCAACATCATATTACATGTTTTAACGCTTGAAACCTTGAAAAGACCGCAAACGCGCGGCCAATCCAACATGCGCCGAATCACGATTCCGGCCAAACATGGTCTCGAAAAGTAGGTCACAGGTCAAAGTTCATTTGGAACAGGATCAAACAATTTTTAGGGTAGGTGTAAAATTGATTAAGGCGAGGGTACTGAACGTTTCATCGCGATCGGCCGCTTTTTACGCGAGTTATTCGCGAAAAATCGTGCGGGTGGGGTCCGTTCGACCCCCGCCCCCATACGGGCGAGAGTTACATAGGTAGGTCTAAATTGCGCGTAGTAAGACAACAATACAGTGCGTTCCCAAATAACATGAAGTTCGGTAAATTTGACAGCAGTTTCCAATGAAGAATGAGGTTTGTCACCATACCGATAAGTTTTGAGCTGCTATTCGTTAAAGGGAGATTATGACCTTTTTCCCCAAAATCTGAGTTAGGACCATTTTCTGACAAAACACAACAAGTTATAATGTAAATTAAAACCATTTTGCTCAATTCGGTACCTTGCCGCAAATATCTCAACTTGAAGTCACGTTAGCGGGGAGCGCTGAAAATGACCGTTGAATAAATACTTACATCACTTTTTGGTACTTGCATGTAATTTTGTAAAATGAGCGTATTCCTTACATTTGATCTTCATCACATCTAGTTAGTTAATGGTCGTCTATAGTGCCTTCAAAAGATATTCATGGTTTGGGGGTGGTTTATGTCTAAATTTACGCAACTATTTTTCCTGTTCATCATCTGTCGCCATATGCTGCTATTTTAGTAGCAACGACTCAATTTTGAATCGGTCCCGCCGACTGCACAATAAAAGAAGATAGATACAACACTTTTGCGGCATCACTGAAAAACTTATGCAGTACTGTTATCAAAATTCTCATAACACCGTTCGACAAACCTGAAGTCTTTTTGAAATAAATATGCTTGTATTTTTCGCTTCAGGCTCTGAGGCCAAAATAATGAATTTCGTAGTCGCAATCGCAAGATTTGGCTGCGTTTCTGGCGCTTGCCGTTCATTTGTGGCGCAAAATAATGTTGGAAACAAAGAAGAGTAGGCACTATGTACAGTCACCAGCACTTGCTACTAATCACCTCGTTTTTGCTCAGTAGTTTGAGGACCGATCATTTCTCAGTCGAGCAAGATACGTCAAACGATCGGTTTGTTCCTCCGATTTTCGAATATCTAACTTGTTTTTGTATGTTCGAAGCATTTTGGGATGAGGAGCCAAAAAACGTCTTTTCTGCCCTATAGTTGCCCCAAGAAGTCGTAGAACCTAGCCCCGCCTCTGATCCACAGACCACTAGTGCCATCTCTTGTCAGCCGAACAAACCGCAGAAGTAAATAATGTCACGTGACCTTTGCACACGCTACAATTACTACGCAGCTGTAGTGGGGGAAGCGGGGCGGAGGCGTGGAGAGGGACGCGATCGGTCGGCTGGGGTCAGGTCGCCGAAGTCACAGGTCATCCGCCGGAGGGTGTTTGGGCGGTTGAGCCGTGTGGGCTGGGGCCTGCGGAGTGCGGAGCGGCTGGACCTGTCTGGAAACAAGTTCTACAACGCTGTGGCAGTCGAGAATATTGTGGAGGGGGGGAGGGAGGGAGAGAGAGAGAGAGAGAGAGAGAGAGAGAGAGAGAGAGAGAGAGAGAGAGAGAGAGAGAGAGAGAGAGAGAGAGAGAGAGAGAGAGAGAGAGAGAGAGAGAGAGAGAGAGAGAGAGAGAGAGGAAAGACTAGAGGGAGAGAGGAAAGACTGGAGGGAAGGGATAAGGACGGGAGGAGAGAAAAGTGATGCAGAAAAGGAAAACCAGGGAGGGTAAAATGAGAAAGAGGGTAATGGGTAAATCAGTGAGAGGGAGCGAGAGAGAAAATATTTAGTTGTGTCAGCTTGTTTCGTGTGTAAAATTTAAATTTGCTTTCCATCATTTCAGCCCCGGATTGAAAATTAAATCTTAGCACCCTTAGATAAACCCACGCTGACGGGATGGGGACGTTTTT